TGGGGTGCACAATAAACTACCACACACAGAACAAGTATGGGGTGCACAATAAACTACCACACACAGGACAAGTATGGGGTGCACAATAAACTACCACTCACAGAACATGTATGGGGTGCACAATAAACTACCACTCACAGAACATGTATGGGGTGCACAATAAACTACCACACACAGAACAAGTATGGGGTGCACAATAAACTACCACACACAGGACAAGTATGGGGTGCACAATAAACTACCAGTCACAGGACAAGTATGGGGTGCACAATAAACTACCAGTCACAGGACAAGTATGGGGTGCACAATAAACTACCACACACAGGACAAGTATGGGGTGCACAATAAACTACCACACACAGGACAAGTATGGGGTGCACAATAAACTACCACACACAGGACAAGTATGGGGTGCACAATAAACTACCACACACAGAACAAGTATGGGGTGCACAATAAACTACCACACACAGAACAAGTATGGGGTGCACAATAAACTACCACACACAGGACAAGTATGGGGTGCACAATAAACTACCACACACAGGACAAGTATGGGGTGCACAATAAACTACCACTCACAGGACAAGTATGGGGTGCACAATAAACTACCACACACAGGACAAGTATGGGGTGCACAATAAACTACCACACACAGGACAAGTATGGGGTGCACAATAAACTACCACACACAGGACAAGTATGGGGTGCACAATAAACTACCACACACAGGACTTGTATGGGGTGCACAATAAACTACCACACACAGGACAAGTATGGGGTGCACAATAAACTACCACACACAGGACAAGTATGGGGTGCACAATAAACTACCACACACAGGACAAGTATGGGGTGCACAATAAACTACCACACACAGGACAAGTATGGGGTGCACAATAAACTACCACACACAGGACAAGTATGGGGTGCACAATAAACTACCACACACAGGACAAGTATGGGGTGCACAATAAACTACCACACACAGGACAAGTATGGGGTGCACAATAAACTAGCCGCCGCTAGTGGCAACAAGAGGGTCGGTCTCTGATCATAATTGTTTGTTTGTTGCCATTCGCGAGGCGAGGCAGGTGGCTGGTCTAAAAATATTTGTGTGGATGATGAGATGCTGGAGATGTATGGCGGCTCCACTTGAGCACTGCACCGGCGCGAGGCCAGGCGCGACTTGTGAGAGTTTGGTCCGCCAGGCTGTTGCTTGGAGCGGCCCGCAGGCCCACATATCCACCACAGCCCGGTTGGTCCGGCACTCCTTGGAGGAGCAATCTAGTTTTCTCTTGAAGATGTCCACGGTTGTTCCGGCAATATTTCTTATGCTCGCTGGGAGGGTGTTGAACAGCCGTGGACCTCTGATGTTTATACAGTGTTCTCTGATTGTGCCTATGGCACCTCTGCTCTTCACTGGTTCTATTCTGCATTTTCTTTCATATCGTTCATTCCAATATGTTGTTATTTTACTATGTAGATTTGGGAGCTGGCCCTCCAGTATTTTCCACGTGTATATTATTTTATATCTCTCTCGTCTCCTTTTTAGTGAGTACATTTGGAGAGCTTTGAGACGATCCCAATAATTTAGGTGCTTTATCGCGTCTATGTATGCCGTATATGTTTTCTGTATTCCCTCTATTTCAGCAATCTCTCCTGCTCTGAAAGGGGGAAGTGAGTACTGAGCAGTACTCAAGCCGGGACAGTACAAGTGATTTGAAGAGTACAACCAGAGTTGAAGAGTTTTGAAGAGCAGTTCAGAGTTTTAAATATATATAGAGTACACATGAGAGGATGTGCAGTGACTTAATATCTAACATATTCAAAGATTTGAGTAAGTGTCAGTCATTCGTTGTCCATTCTTTCCGTGTGTCAAGGGTATCTTGTACCTGTGTGGCGCCTTTGGCTGAAGTAACTGTCCTCACAATGCTGGCGTCGTCACTAAACATTTAGAGCAAGACGGTTATCTCCTCTGGAAAATGTTGAGTATATGTGAAGAAGAGGATAGATGGGAGCTAGCACTGACCCACTGTGGGACTCCCATGGTCATATCTCGCCACTCATGCCAACTCTAACATCAACCACCACATTCCTACACTAATTTATTCTAACTTCTCGTGAACAAGTACAAGTTCATCTAGTCTCGGACACTTGAGAGGCGGGTCCAAATAGCCGAAGCTCAACCCTCGCAAGCATTCTTAAGTGAGTATATCAAGCCTGTTTTGTTTTCTAGATATCCTAGGTAAACAATGACGTTTTCCAGGATGCAGCCCACAACAGTTGTCTTACTCCCAAGTACCTGTTTACTGATAGGGGTAACAGAAGCATCAGGTGAAAGGAGACGTGTCCAAACGTCTCCGATTTGCGCGGGAATCGAACTTGGGACCACTGTGTGAGGTTACTGGATGTTGATATTCTTCTACAGACCAAGTGGGCACAGTAGCCAAGACCTTCGTCACTCTTGGGTACTGTGCCCACCAGGGGGGGGAGGGGGGAGAGGGCGTGCCTGAGGTCACGGTAGTTTTCCGTCCACAGTCTACCTGGGGCCCCGAGCCTTCCCTCTCCCTCCATCACGCCGGGACAACACTTTGGGGTTAGTTTACTTCATTTATTATGCACCCCATACCCATCTTGTGGGCGGTAGTGGAAAGGGTTACAGAGACACATAATGGGCTCAGGGAATCAACCTCACAATTCATTTAGCTAAGCAAGTTACAATCTTGATGAACTAGTTACAAAATTCAGTATAAGTCGTCACATCATAAATGGGTTCGAGATCGACCACAAGTACAGTTTCTAAGTTAAGCAACCGACATATGTGGAGAGCTAGTGTCACAATTGATATGTTTGTCCTGCACACCGCCCCCCCATCCAGTGGGCAGCGGTGGATAGGTTACAATCACTTAGTTACTACCTACAGTTAGCAAACTGGGGATATTTGGCTAACATTTCTGGTAGTAGATCATTTTGATTAAATATTTACACATCGTTGGAACATTGGTTATAGAATTGTCTCTGAATTCACGTATCTTTTCGCACTCCATCACATAGTGACGGAGGGTGTGCGAATAATTTTGTTGACACAGTTTACATTTGGTCAGGTCTACATCGGCAAATAATGAGAATTCCCAGAGATACTTGTAACCGAGTCTAAGCCGAGCAGTAGTAACATCTAGAAGTCTGCTGATTTTATTGGATGAACCATAGATGTGTGGCTCCTCTTGCATGATAGTATGATGGTAGATGGAATTATAGGTGTCGATTTCACTTTGCCTCAGATCCTCAAGATATTCTTGAAGTTCTTGGTGTACTATTGCTCTCAGATTGCTTATTGACAATCCAAGGTTACACTCAATGGCTCCATTAGAGGCAGATTCTTTGGCTAACTTATCAGCTGTATTATGCATTCGGAGGCCAACATGAGATGGAGACCACGGGGGCCTCGTAGCCTGGTGGATAGCGCGCAGGATTCGTAATTCTGTGGCGCGGGTTCGATTCCCGCACGAGGCAGAAACAAATGGGCAAAGTTTCTTTCACCCTAAGTGCCCCTGTTACCTAGCAGTAAATAGGTACCTGGGAGTTAGGGCTGCTTCCTGGGGTGTGTGTGTGTGGTGTGGGGGAAAAAAAAAGTAGTTAGTAAACAGTTGATTGACAGTTCAGAGGCGGGCCGAAAGAGCAAAGCTCAACCCCCGCAAAAACACAACTAGTAAACACAACTAGTAAACACATGAAATGGACTCTGTTACCATCATTAATAATTTTGCTGTATTTGTGTCTAGCTTCAGACACGAGCATGTTACAGTTATGTACCTCGCCCTGCCCTGGTGACACTCTATTACTCTCTCATTTATCCTTATCTCAACTATTGTATTTGTTTTTGGGGGTTCTACTACCCAAAATCATTTACGTCCTCTAATTACTCAACACAAAGCTGCTATTAGGACAATATCTAACTCTGGCCCCAGACATCACTCGGTACCCTTACTGAAATCTCTGAATATGTTATCTTGAGCCTCCTAATGTTAGATATTAAGTCACTGCACATCCTCTCATGTGTATTTTATATATATAAAACGCTGAACTGTAATGTCAATCCTGACCTTAAAAGCTTCCTAGAAGGTTGTAACAGATCTTATGAGCACCAACACACAAGAAACAAATACCTATTTGATATTCCAAGAGTACGACTTAGTCTAACTAGAAATGCTTTACAAATTAAGGGACCTCGAATGTGGAATGACCTTCCCAATTATGTTAAAGACTATCTCTCCCAACCAGTTTAAGATAAAAACTAAGTATTGTACTACCTAATTAACTCAATGTAACCTACCTCACTCCTAAATGTCTACCCATGTCTACGATTTTAAACAATGCTGTTTGTTGACCAACTTGTATCATTGCTGATTTTTGCCATGTCCCCCCCCCCTCACCCAGTTTTCCTCTTTCAACTCAATTTATGCTTTGTTAGTATTAAGTTTTAGTCCAAGTGTTTTCCCCTCACCTTGCCCAAAACACATATTAGTAGCTTTGTATGTACTAGCTCTATCTATAAATGCAACTTTATGTTTGTAACTCATCTGGTATGTATGTATTTTTTTCCCTGAATAAACATTTGATTTGATTTGATTGTTTTGAACGGTAGTGGCCTGAGCCACTCTGAACCAATGAGAGACCAGCAGGACAAGACTGCCCGGCCTCCTAATAAAGCGTCACATTTTGACACATACTTTACCTAGGGCCAAAAATCGTCGTACTAGAAAATGGTAACGGCTCGCGAAATTGATACAGCCCCGTTATCTGTTAGGTCCTCTGGTAGGTTAGGAGAGGGCACTTTAATACTACAGTTTACTGACGTTGGGAACCTTAGGAGGCCTTGGCCAGGGAGCTGGTGTCTCGACCAATGGCAGATGACATGGCAGCATAACCTAGCGTCAGTCGGCCAATGGGAGTAAAGAGTGGTAGCAGGCAGCTGTGCTAGGAGTCCCCGAACTCACTACCTGTCAGTCAGTGAGTGCAGCTCGTCGTGAGAGGCCACAGTCACGGTTGGTGCTGGTTGTCTTCCTGGCCGCGTTTGGCCATACTGTTTCCTCCTATACTGTATTCTTCCCTGTTGCCCAATGTCATAAATTATTTCCTATTGTGATATATCATACAGGGCCTCGTACTACAGTTGGCTTCGTTCTAGACTCATAATCGAGGATCCCGGGGTCGATTCCCGGACGGGACTGAAATAGTTGGAGGAGTTTCTGTTAACCTAATGTCTGTATATGGGTCCCCAAGAGTTAGGCAAAAATTATGGTTTGCATCCTGGGAAGGGTCAGTAACTGTCTTGTAATAACCCACTAAACCACACTGACTGTTCAAAAGAATTGGAAGTCGTCAGACCTTTTAACCCAATCCCCGACAGCACTTGGTGGTCAATTGTTAGGGTCAGATATATTTCATCGCATCACCTCGTGTATTGGGCCCAGGTGAGTAACACAAATGAGTAACACATAACAGAGGTAATCACCTCTGTCAATTTATATTGTAGTTATTTGTTGACATGAAAACCTTGCTACATTGTAGCCCTCTCATCTTACCTGATATATGTTAGATTAAGGACCGGCCCAGAACGTTATGCGTTAGTGGCTCTGCGTAAATGTAAAAATACCAGACTTTGTAGTCTCACCAACCCATTGTACCTTCTTGTAAATAAATTATTATTATTATTATTATTATTATTATTATTATTATTAATTGACCCCCGAGTGCTGTCGGGGACAGGTTGCCTGTAGGTCTCGGTGAACTAAGGGAACTATCAGGGGGAAATTAAGCGCCAAATCATTACGACTATATATATATATTTATATATATTGCGACCTGCCCGACACGCTGCGCGTACTAGTGGCTTTATAAGATTGTAAATACTATGCTATGTATTCTCACAAATTCAATGTACCTTCTTGTATATAAATAAATAAATAAATATAGCACTGGGAAGGGGTCAGGATAAGGATTTTGGGATGGGACGGGGGTAGGGAAGGAATGGTGCCCAACTACTTGGACGGTCGGGAATTGAACGCCGACCTGCATGAAGCGAGACCGTTGCTCTACCGTCCAGCCCAAGTGGTTGGGCTGGACGGTAGACTTCCCAGTACTTCTGATAGTCGCTGGCTGAGTGGTTTTAACACTAAATTGGTGCTGAGATAACCAGTCTCCGTGGTGTAGTGGTAAGACACTCGCCTGGCGTTCCGCGAGCGCTTTGTCATGGGTTCGTATCCTGGCCGGGGAGGATTGACTGGGCGCAAATCCTTAACTGTAGCCTCTGTTTAACTCAACAGTAAAATGTGTACTTGGTTGTAACAAGGATTCTTCGCGGCGGGGATGGTATTCCAGGGACCTGCCCGAAAGGCTACGCGTACTAGTGGCTCTACAAGAATGTAACAACTCTTGTATATATCTCAAAATAGAAAAGCAAAAAAAGAGAAACTAAACTGCCAGGGGTGTGGAGACCCCGGTGACGCGGGGTTCGAATCCTTCATGGGTAAAGAAGGTTTATATGTCGTTTATATGTCTATATTATATATTATATATATATATATATTCTTCCTTGTTGTTAATAATAATAGTAATGATAATAAATAATAATAGTTTATTCATAAGAATGTGCGTACAAAGAACACAGGGTTACACTACAAGGGCTACACATAATACACTACAAGGGCTACACATAATACACTACAAGAGCTACACATAATACACTACAAGGGCTACACATAATACACTACAAGGGCTACACATAATACACTACAAGGGCTACACATAATACACTACAAGAGCTACACATAATACACTACAAGGGCTACACATAATACACTACAAGGGCTACACATAATACACTACAAGGGCTACACATAATACACTACAAGAGCTACACATAATACACTACAAGGGCTACACATAATACACTACAAGGGCTACACATAATACACTACAAGGGCTACACATAATACACTACAAGGGCTACACATAATACACTACAAGGGCTACACATAATACACTACAAGAGCTACACATAATACACTACAAGGGCTACACATAATACACTACAAAGCTACACACTACAAGGCTACACTACACTACATAATACACTACAAGGGCTACACATAACAATACACTACAAGGGCTACACATAATACACTACAAGGGCTACACATAATACACTACAAGGGCTACACATAACAATACACTACAAGGGCTACACATAATACACTACAAGGGCTACACATAATACACTACAAGGGCTACACATACACAATACACTACAAGGGCTACACATAATACACTACAAGGGCTACACATAATACACTACAAGGGCTACACATAATACACTACAAGGGCTACACATAATACACTACAAGAGCTACACATAATACACTACAAGGGCTACACATAATACACTACAAGGGCTACACATAATACACTACAAGGGCTACACATAATACACTACAAGGGCTACACATAACAATACACTACAAGGGCTACACATAATACACTACAAGGGCTACACATAATACACTACAAGGGCTACACATAATACACTACAAGGGCTACACATAATACACTACAAGGGCTACACATAATACACTACAAGGGCTACACATAATACACTACAAGGGCTACACATAATACACTACAAGGGCTACACATAATACACTACAAGGGCTACACATAATACACTACAAGGGCTACACATAATACACTACAAGGGCTACACATAATACACTACAAGGGCTACACATAATACACTACAAGGGCTACACATAATACACTACAAGGGCTACACATAATACACTACAAGGGCTACACATAATACACTACAAGGGCTACACATAATACACTACAAGGGCTACACATAATACACTACAAGGGCTACACATAACAATACACTACAAGGGCTACACATAATACACTACAAGAGCTACACATAATACACTACAAGAGCTACACATAATACACTACAAGGGCTACACATAATACACTACAAGGGCTACACATAATACACTACAAGGGCTACACATAATACACTACAAGGGCTACACATAACAATACACTACAAGAGCTACACATAACAATACACTACAAGAGCTACACATAACAATACACTACAAGAGCTACACATAATACACTACAAGGGCTACACATAATACACTACAAGGGCTACACATAATACACTACAAGGGCTACACATAATACACTACAAGGGCTACACATAATACACTACAAGGGCTACACATAATACACTACAAGGGCTACACATAACAATACACTACAAGGGCTACACATAATACACTACAAGGGCTACACATAATACACTACAAGGGCTACACATAACAATACACTACAAGAGCTACACATAACAATACACTACAAGGGCTACACATAATACACTACAAGGGCTACACATAATACACTACAAGGGCTACACATAACAATACACTACAAGGGCTACACATAACAATACACTACAAGAGCTACACATAACAATACACTACAAGAGCTACACTACAAGGGCTACACTACACATACACATAATACACTACAAGGGCTACACATAATACACTACAGCTACACATAATACACTACAAGAGCTACACATAACAATACACTACAAGAGCTACACACAAGAGCTACAATACACTACAAGAGCTACACATAATACACTACAAGGGCTACACATAATACACTACAAGAGCTACACATAATACACTACAAGAGCTACACATAATACACTACAAGAGCTACACATAACAATACACTACAAGAGCTACACATAACAATACACTACAAGAGCTACACATAATACACTACAAGGGCTACACATAATACACTACAATACATAATACTACAAGGGCTACACATAACATAATACACTACAAGCTACACATAACAATACACTACAAGAGCTACACATAACAATACACTACAAGGGCTACACATAATACACTACAAGAGCTACACATAATACACTACAAGAGCTACACATAACAATACACTACAAGAGCTACACATAATACACTACAAGAGCTACACATACAAAGCTACACTACAAGAGCTACACATAATACACTACAAGAGCTACACATAACAATACACTACAAGAGCTACACATAATACACTACAAGAGCTACACATAACAATACACTACAAGAGCTACACATAATACACTACAAGAGCTACACATAACAATACACTACAAGAGCTACACATAATACATACAATACACATAATACTACAAGGGCTACACATAATACACTACAAGAGCTACACATAATACACTACAAGAGCTACACATAATACACTACAAGAGCTACACATAACAAGGAAGCTCTACAAAGAGTTTCCAGGAAAAGTTAGAATAATTTAGATACAAAATTATATACCAGTAAGAAAAGATGTAATTATAGGTGTATTATTTATAGGTATACTAGGGCAACCACTTCATACGCTGCCATATACTCTGCTATATTGTTTTCATTTGCTGTCATACTTTTCCATAGTTATCTTAATGATTTCGGGGCTTAGCGTCCCCGCGGCCCGGTCCTCGACCAGGCCTCCTTTTTGTTAAACACCCCCAGGAAGCAGCCCGTAACAGCTGTCTAACTCCCAGGTACCTATTTACTGTTAGGAGCAGTAAATAGGGGCATCAGGGTGAAAGAAACTCTGCCCATTTGTTTCCGCCTCCATTGTGGGTCGAACCTAGAACCTTAGGACTACGAATCCAAAGCGCTGTCCACTCAGCTGTTAGGCCCCTATGTATGTTGTACCATAATTTCTGCGTACTTTGTGAATGTTGAAATGTCTTCAGATGCCTGAATTCAGTCAATATACAAGAAAATTGTTTAATAGTTGAATCAATGATACTCTAAAATTACACGTAAAGGTTCTGCATTTCCGTTTTATCAGAAATTTCAAGATCGCAAGTTTTTTTAGGTTTTGTAAATATTTAATAGTGTTATTGTCAACATCACGTTTAGAAATTTTCAGTTTGAGTTAAAAG